AGAAAGATTAAATTAATTAATAAGCGTTTTATTGTTTTTTTCTAAATTTTTACAATTTTCCCTTAAATACATTCTAATATACAGGATGTCTCAGCGAGACCGGTCATTAGACGTTTCTGGGGTTCTGGCCAAAATAAAAATTTGAGAATTCAGACTTAAGTATTATCAATTACGTTCTCTTCATCTAAAATATATTCAGATTTCTAGCACTTCCGGTTATACCAGAAGTCGCCACCTACTTTATTTTTTTAATTGGAACACCTGTATATTTTTACATATTTGGATTTGTCTGTTTTGAAGGTTTATAAATAACTTTACTTTTTGCAATTTGATTCGGCCGTTCTCGAGTTATTCGAATTTTTCTAGATAAATCTGCTCCAGCGGACATTTGTTCAAAAAATCATAGAACACTGGTTTTTTAAGATATCAATTTAGGATTCAGAACATGCTTAAACAACATTATGAAGTATGTTTTGGTGCTGAGAACGCCTGTCTAGATCGTTTGTTCACTTTTCTATGACACGTTAACTTTTCGAAATTTCGAAGCACCATAACAATAATATAATATTTTATTACTTAGTCGTCTTCGGCGTCTCATTTTACGTCTTTTATACTCCATATGTCCTATGCCTAACATTAATAGTTTGAGAAATAATTAGGGTTTTTTGAAAAATGCTCACATATCATATCGATATTAACCTAGTGTGGCATGGAAAACAAATGTTTAATGACTTATTGACAAACGTCAAAGTCTGATTTACGTTGTTTGATGCGTGTGAGTCTAAAACCAGTTAAAATGGATATTAATAACGTAAATAATGTTTATACAAATGAAGAAATCCATAATTTATTTTTTGTGCACGAAAAGTGCGACAACGTTCTTAGCAGAACTTGCAGAATGTTTAATGAAAATTATCCACATTTACCGCCGATGACAAAAGGTAAATTTAGAAGAAAAGAAGCAAATTTTTTGCATTTTGGACGAATTAATCACGTGTTAAACTGACCAAAAAATGTAGTAGATAATGCAACGGAAGAGGTGAATACCTTGGCTTATTTCGACCCCAGTCCCAACACCTCAATTCGAGCTGCCAAAGAAGATCTGGGAATCATACTACGAACTTTGTCGCGCTTTTCATGCATAAAAAATAAATTAAGAATTTCTTGATTTGTGTAAATATTATATTTGTGACCAATCATGTTGCTTAAACATGTTCTGAATCCTAAATTGATATCCCAAAAATCGATTGTTCTCTGATTTTTTGAACATATGTCTGCTGGAGCAGATTTTTCTAGAAAAATTCGAATAACTAATAATCAAATTGCAAAAAGTAAAGTTATTTATAAACCTTCAAAACAGACAAATCCAAATATGTAAAAATATACAGGATGTTCCATTTAAAAAATTAAAGTACGCGGCGACTTCCGGTATAACCGGAAGTGCAAGAAATCTGAAAATATTTTAGTCGAAGAGATCGTAATTGATAATACTTAAGTCTGAATTCTCAAATTTTTATTTTCGCCAGAACCCCAGAAACGTCTAATGACCGGTCTCGCTGAGACACCCTGTATAGT